AGAGACTTGGCAAGGGCATTATTGAAGGATCTGACTGAGTATGTGATGGAGCAAATCCCTAGGGGGGAAAACACTGATGCTGACTTGCTATCAAAATTGACGCAAGCAGCCCCGGAGCATGTGTCCAAGCTGGCCAGGATTGAGACGCTGGAGAAAGCCAGCATTGAAGGGTTTTCTGTTAGCATGATAGAGGAAGATGGACAGCCCAATCTAGATCGAGTGGAGCCATATGATATTTGGATGGATGACTTGGTCAGGTACTATATGACCGGGCAATTCCCTGAGGATGAGGATAGGGTAAGAAAAGTAAAGCTGAGGGCTCCAAGATTCCAAATGCTTGATGGAAGGCTATACAAAAGGGCATTTGGCGGTCCGCTGCTGAGATGCTTGACCAGGGCGGAGGCGGAAAGAGTGATCGCCGAAGTTCATGAGGGTGTCTGTCCAGGACACTCGCACAAAGGATCATCTTGCTAGGTTATTTCTGGCCTACAATGAACCAAGATTGTGAGAAGTATGTGCAAAGGTGCAAGACTTGCCAGGTGTTCTACAAGTTTCCGGGAAGGCCTGCGACATACTACCACCCAGTTTCCAATGTTATTCCATTCGCAAGATTTGGGATGGACATCATTGGAGCCTTCCCCCAAGCACAAGGGAGGAAGAAGTATGTCATGGTTGCTATCGAGTACTTCACAAAATGGGTAGAAGCCGAGGCATATGCAACCATCACAACCAAGCAGTGCCAGCGCTTCGTCTGGAAGAATATAATCACCAGGTTTGGGTCTCCTCGAAACATTGTGACGGATAACGGGCCTCAATTTCGGAATCCAGGGTTCACCAAATACTTGGAGGACTTTGGGATTACTCACAATAAGGCTTCCGTGGCCTACCCGCAAGGGAATGGTCAGGTGGAGAATGCGAACCGCACAATAGTCGATGGGATTAAAAAGCGGTTGGGTGAGGCAGGAACAAATTGGCTAGAGGAGTTGCCACATATCATCTGGGCTTACCGAGTCACTTCGAGAAGGGCCACAGGGGAAACACCCTTCGTCCTTACGTACGGGTGTGAGGCCAGACTACCCATCGAAGCTAAAATAATGACCTTTCGGGAGAAGGTCTATGAAGAAAAAGGGAATGAGAAAGATCATTTAGCGAAGTTGAACTTCCTGGAAGAAAGGCGAATGGTCGCTGAGGCCAAAATGATTGAATACCAGCAAGCAGCCAAGGCCTACCATGATAACAAGGTAGGGCCTCGTTACTTCCAGGTGGGTGATGAGGTCCTAAGACGAAGGGAGGCCAGCAAACCGGGAGACGGGGGAAAGCTTGCAAAGAAATGGGAAGGCCCATATAGGGTCACAGCAATATTACGCCCTGGGACGTACAAGTTAGAAACCATGGAAGGTAGAGAATTGGAAAGGTGCTGGAATTCCCACCACCTTAGAAAATTCTACCGGTAGGCCAAATTGGTAGGGTTTGCATTTGTAATACCCCTTCAATGATGAATAAAAGCTTTCTTCAATACAAGTGATGTTGGGTCAGTGATGCAAATATAACTTGTCTTGATGTAAGAGGCAAGGTCAAAATTTCAAAAAAAAAAAAAAAGATAAACCCTTGAGATAGGGGCCTTGATGTTGAGGTATAGCCTTGAGATAGGCTGGGTCTCGAAGAGGACTCACATCCATACTTACATGGATCCCTACCAAATTTTTGTTTGGATAGGGGCGAAAAGATGCCAAAATAAAAAAAACGTTTACCGTCTTGCATGAGTCATCCTTTGCGGATTGAAGGGTCTAGGGAAGACTAGAGTTCACTTCAAACGCATAACATATGGACATGTAAGATTGGATGAGGGCTGGTTCTCACCGGCATACCCCCACGATGGGAAGATTGGGTTGGCTAGGTCAACCTAATGATTAAAGAATGGCACATTAAAAGACTTAAAACCTGGAAGAGGGGCCCTGGAAGAAGGGTGTTGCCTGGAAGAGGGCTGAACCTTGGAGAGGGTTCGCAATCATAGGACATGGTCAAAATCTCCGAAGAAAGTTCGGGTCTTGATGTTGAGACTTGATGATTCCAAAACCGTTTCGGATTATTCGTTCGAAATTTGAGCAAGGTTGCTGTTAGGCATGACATCCAGGCCAAAGGGGGAAAGGAAAGTGACATGGTCAAAAGTGACCGGTCACTTTTTAATGTTCTGGATTGGCAAGAAAATGCGAATGGGAAAAAATTAAAATTTGACCAGTCAACTTTGAGAAAAGTGACCAGTCACTTTTTTCGGGTTGGATTTGAGGAAATCAGGCAGATCTGGAAAACTTCATTTTTGACTGGTCATCTTTTTGACCTAGCACTTGGACGGGAAATTTGACGTCATGCTGGTTACATATTGCAACCAAGCCATTGGAAGCTGGTCAGGAAAAATTCAACCTAGACAAGTGTCACATTCCAACCTAAAAGTTGACCAAGTCAGAAGACAAGCCGGGAAGAAACTGACCTAGACGTTTTCAAGTCAAGAGACCAGGACATGAGATAACCTGGAAGTTTTCAAGCCTTGCGTCTAAAGTGATCTTCAAAACTTTCAACCTAACCTACTACACCAGGACATGAGATGACCTGGACGTTGTTGCAGTTTAGCCTAGACATAAGCCGGCCCAGGAGACTAGTCAGGCATGAGGTGCCCTAGACCCAGACATTTTCAAGGTTACAAGACCTGGACATTTTCAAGTGATGAAATTGACCAGGACATTATAAAAAGAGCTTAAAGACCAAGCCGATTGGACCTGGATGTTTTAAAGACCAAGACATGAAATGACCTGGACATTTCTTTAAAAGATTCCTAAGGTTTATGGCCGGGTACTATTATTGACTTGGGAGTTCAACCCAGCATGGTAAAGAAAGGACAAGTCTGACCGTGCAATTTCAAGTAAGGACCAAGCAAGAATAACAATCATACAAGAGAATTCAACCATGCAATTGGAAGCAAAAGTGACCGGTAAAAGTTCAAAGCATACCAAGAGAAGTTAATATTACATAAAGTCAAATATTAGGCTGGACATCCCCCAGGCCTTGGGAAATTCAAAGTTTTTTGAAAGAACAAAAACAACAGACCCTAACCTATTCTAGGAGAAAGGGGGGAGCAGGCTCTTCCTTATACAAGGCCGGGAGCTTCATTTTGGCCGGGTCAAAGGAGGGGTCCCTCTTCTGGAGTCTGGCATATAGAAGAGATCTCTCTTCCTTTTGACCGCACTGGAACCCATAAGAGCCAATGTCTTTGATCATCCTCTTTCCTTCCGGCTCCTTGTACATGACTTTGAAGAAGTCCATGGTTTCCTCCGGTTGGGTGAGAATAGACCTGGCTACTTCCTCATGATGGCAGGCGGCCCAGCTGGCAGCATCATCAGGAAAGGATTGTTCCTTTGCCCGGGCGGATTCTTCAGCCTGCCCCAAAGCTTCCTCCAGCTCAGCCACCTTTCTCTTCTCCTCCGCCAGCTTTGCCCTTTCCTCAACTAGCCTAGCCCTTTCTTCCTTTAGCTCTTCCTCCAGCCTCCTCTCCCTTTCTGCCCGGTCATTAATCTCCAGCTTGGCAGAATCAAGGAGGGTGAGTTGGGAGACCTGGTCTTTTGGCTCCAAAAGTGTTTGGCCAATCTCTTCTGAAATGACCCCGGCCTACAAATTCAAAAAAAAAAGGAGGAGCAAAGGAAATAACTGAACCGAGAGGAAAATCAGAGTTGGTACCTTGCTAAGTTTCTTGGCCAAGGACAGAAATGTTACTTCAATGGACTCCCCCTCCAGATCTGATAGCCTGACCTTCTTCCTCCTTTCCCCCCTGGAAGTCTTGTGGGAACCCTTCCTTTTATGAGAGGAAGAGTGACCGGTCCCTTTTCCTTTGGCCTTGACATCCTTCTTAGGAGAAGGGACCCGGTCACTTTCAAAGAGATGGGTGGCTGGAGGAGATTTCAGCTTCTGGCTCTGTTCATAGATAGGGCTACACCGGGCACTTGTGGCCTCGTCCATTTCAGGGATGTGAGGAGGAGAAGGAGGCTTGGAAATAGGAGACCGGTTGAAATGGAGAACTTGAACATCATTGTCGTCATCTTCGATGATGGTGGTCATCCTGTTGAAGTTCATGTCTGCCAAAAAGAACAAAGCAACAAGTGACCGGTTAGATTTTAAACCTATACATAAATAAAGGAAATGAAAGTAAGAAGCTTGAGAGAATATGATCGACCTGGATGAGGAGAACTGGCCTCAGCATGACCATCCGGGGAGTTGGCCTGGTCAACTTCTGCGTCATGGGTCGCAGATACACCCCCATCCGGATTTTGTAACCGGTATACCCAGCCCCCATAAGCGTATGGCTTACCGGTCACAGGATCACCCTTGAGAAGTTTCTCACAGGCGTCCTCTAGCTCTTTAGTGGGCTCCGGTTGAACCCTTTCAGGTTTTATAACCCGGTCAGCCCACTCACGGTTAGAGAGTGGGAATTGGTCAGAGGGGAATTCAATGAAAACAAATCTTTGTTTCCATTTTTTGTGGCTAGGGGGGAGACCGGTTAAAAAACCCCTAGAGTTGGCACGAGAATGGAAGTAAACAAAGCCCGGGCAGTTACTAGTCCCGGGCAAGACATCATACATATGAAGGAAGAGATCAAGGGAAGGTTTGATGTTCAGAGATTCACAAATATTTACAAAACAATTCAAAAACCGGTGAGCATTTGGAGTAAGCTGGCCGGGCAAAAGATTGAACTTATTACAGATTTCTATAAGGAGGGGGCGAAGGGGAAAGATAATGCCCCCCTTTAGCGAAGCAAAACCCAACCGGTTTCCCTGGTGGGGTTCTATGATGTTGGGCCAAGTGGTGTTAGAGAGGAGTTTATAGCCTGGTGGGAGGACGGAACGGACTTCAGCCAGGACCTTTTTGGTTGCCCTAGAGGACTCCTTGAAGACCGGTCCGGAGTCAAGGGCAAGGTAACCCAGCGATCCCAATCGCTCTTCCCACTGGTTCCAGCTGAGGACCTTGGGATTGAAGCGACCGGGCATTTGGTTCAGAGGGACAGGCTCCTGGGCAACTATTTCCCGGGCTTGAGAGCTAGACTGGTGAGAGGGACGGCGAATGAAAGGAGTGACAGGGGGAGAAGAAGATTCAAAGGGGGAAGAGGAAGAGGGCTGAGAGCCTGATCCATAGGATTGGCCAGATATGTTTTGGCTATCAAAAGACATGACTTCAGCCTACCGGTTAAAAATGGAAAGATGGAAAAATTAAGACTAGGAAGACTGGAGGACTTACTTGGCGAAGAGCTAGAGAGAGAAAGCTGACCGGTGGAAGTTGGGAGAGCGGAGAGAAGAAGTGAAGAAATGAGATGGGTTGGAGGAGTATTTATAGGAGAGAGAGGGGCGGGTTGGAACTCGAGGCGACAGGTGGGAGGCCGAGGACGTGACACGTGGAAGAGTAATGATGAAGTTTGAAATTCAAATTTCAAATATGGAAGGTGAAAGGTTTTTGGGGGGAAACTGCAAAAATGAAAGGTCGGGCCCAACATCTGGGTTTCCACAGATGCAAATGGACGGGTCTANCTGACCGGTGGAAGTTGGGAGAGCGGAGAGAAGAAGTGAAGAAATGAGATGGGTTGGAGGAGTATTTATAGGAGAGAGAGGGGCGGGTTGGAACTCGAGGCGACAGGTGGGAGGCCGAGGACGTGACACGTGGAAGAGTAATGATGAAGTTTGAAATTCAAATTTCAAATATGGAAGGTGAAAGGTTTTTGGGGGGAAACTGCAAAAATGAAAGGTCGGGCCCAACATCTCGGTTTCCACAGATGCAAATGGACGGGTCTAAATGGGAAGGCTTATGATTCGAAAAATGATAGGTCAGAGGGGACTGGTCAGATCTAAAAGGACAGGTCATTGATGGCAGGTCAGCAACGGATCTAAAAAATGAAAGGTCAATGGGAATGACTTGGTGATTTCAAAGAAGGACAGGTCTTGAAAATGAAAGGCTTGATCATTCAAAGAAAGACAGGTCTTGAAAATGAAAGGCTTGATCATTCAAAGAAGGACATGTCTTGAAAATGAAAGGCTTGATCATTCAAAGAAAGACAGGTCTTGAAAGGGAATGGCTTGACGATTTCAAGAAAGAACAGGTCATGGGAATGGCTTGACGATTTCAAAAAAAGACAGGTCATGGGAATGACTTGATGATTTCAAGAAAGGACAGGTCATGGGAATGGCTTGACGATTTCAATTTAAGACAGGTCATGGGAATGGCTTGACGATTTCAAAAAAGGACAGGTCATGGGAATGACTTGATGATTTCAAAGAAGGACAGGTCATGGGAATGACTTGATAATTCCAAAAATACAGGTCATGTGAGGAACTTGGTGATTCAAAAGGACAGGTCATGAGAGAGACCTGGTGATTCAAAAGGACAGGTCATGAGAGAAGACTTGTTGAATTCAAAGGTGATGGGTTAACATAAGTATACTTTCCGCCCTTGATGATTTCCTCACAAGGCCGGTAAGTGGAGGACTTCTTGATGGGTATATCCTTATACCCGACCCGGATAACCGAAAGGGACAGGTCAAAACATGACCGGTCACTTTTATCAAGTTACCAAATGATGTTAACTCTTCGATTGGGACGGGTCAAAAATTGACCGGTCACTTCCACTAAAAAAGTGACCGGTCACATTTTGGGCGATAGCCAATTCGCCATTTTATGTTGCGAAGGATATTCCAGAGGACCAAAGAGATGGGTTGAACTCAAGAAATGACCGGGTAACCTTTGAGGAAAGGTGACCGGTCAGATTGCGCTACTTGAGAAGGGCAATCGACATCAGAGGCTAGAGGACACCCCGCCGCTCATCCGTCACGAGGCAAACAGTGAAAGGAATGGTTGGCGTTTTGCAGGATTGATTGGATTGAGAATATCCATGTTAGTCTTTGATTGAACAGTGCATGTCTTAGCTTGTAGTTGCTATATTCATTGATTGAATAGTAAATTGATTATGTACAGTGACCTTCCTCCGGGTTTCCCATTTTGTCCATGGATGAACAGAGGAAGGTCACAAATCCTCCTCTATAAATATGATGATATTGGATAGAGGAGGGGATCCATTCTTTCTCTCACTAAAAATAGTACACTCTTGAGACAGAGTAAGAAATATAATTCGGACTAAGGAGATTTACCCGGTCTAGGTCATACTTTGTGTTCTTGGTGTGTTTTATATTACGGGTCGAGTGTTCAGGTCAAATCCGGTCGACCCACCCAGCTATATTTACACCATCAAGTATTATTTAAGTAAATTCCCCATTATACAATTGACTAAATTGCCTAATGTAAAATATAGTGATTTCTCAAAGTATTGAGTTACAAAATAAAATTTACAAATAATATTACATATGTCATGATATATTTGTCAAGTTTTATTTTTTTAGTCAAACTAGATAAATTTTAAACTTTAGTATAGTTTAATTTTTTTTAGTCAAACCGGATAAATTTTAAGTTTTAATTACTTTAAATATATATTAAATATTAATATAATGAAATAAAATTTTGAAACTAATAAATGAATCTAATAAAATTATTATTATACTAATACACATTATATTTTTTTAATTGAATCCCAAAATTTATCTCGGGTGAATAAAAAAATCAATCTAAACAAATACAGTAGAACCGGGAGAGTATTGAATAATAGACCAAAAGCATTGGGGGTGAATTTTCCAATAAAATTAGTGTTTATATTCGGCCAATGAGTACTGCTACTGATGGTGTAAATTACCACGCAAATACTAAGTAGAAGTAATCGGAAGGGCTGTAGGTGGAAACACCTGTAATCCGGCTTGTTATTAATTAAAATAGGAACTTATTACAATCAGTACAGGCCGTGTGGATTAATTAAACCATGTCTCACAAATGAGGTTTTTAGGGGTATTTATAGTAATCCTAAGCACGTCTCTGGTTATCCAACCGATCATTCGTCTAACCGGCTGCATAAGAGTACTACCCAACCGACTTCACGACCCGGTCTGAGAAAGATGCGTTCTGTCACTTCCGTCACCACCCAGTCGGACGAACCAACCGGGTGGTATCCATGGGTTATTACCCATCAGCTACCACTTGTGCGCATTTAAAAAAGGTTATTTACAAGAGCTAAGACCATCTCCAATGGGATGCCTACAAGAGATGCTAGGAAGAGAGAGAGTGAGATGTTGTTGGATGCTATTGTTGTAGGTGGGTGCTCATTATAGATGTCCAAGGAAGAAAAAGAGAGGAGGATGCTTCACATAGCATCGGTGCTTGAGGGGGGAAGGGTTTCATGCATTTATTTCTTTAGTTTTGTGGTCCAATGATTATGTGTCATGTGTCATATATATATTCAATTCTTTTTATGGAAATTTTCTTAAATAGCTCTCTTTTTAAATACTTTTCCAATAATGACTTTTTTTTGTAATTCCAATAAATATTTTAAGTAAATGTTTTTTTACAAATAGCTGCAAATTAGAATTTTTTCTTAAAAAATGGATTTACATCCAAATGGGTCGTTTTTAAATTTTTTTGATATTGATGGAGAACAAACTAGTTTTAAAATATAAAGAATAATTTTTTTCAATATAATATTTTTAAGTTTTGTATAATTAATACTCCGTAATTTATTATATAACTCAATACTTATAATTAACAAAAAATAAAATATAAATAAATTTTAGTAGACCTACTATATTAATTGAATAGATATTTAGGCATCTAAATGAGATGCTACCATTGAAAGAATAAGATGTTAAGAGAGGTGCTAGAATAACATCTTTATAGTGGAGCCCACACTTGAGCATCTAAGGAGAGATGTTGCCATTGTGGATGCTCTAATGAGCTATGACCAACCGGCAATTCGGCAAACCATTGCGTGGTGAGATTTGGTAATAATCTTAACCATGGTTACTCTTCAGTCCAGAGACGGTGAAAGTAAAAGTTACAGGGACAGTGAAAGTAAAAAAAATCACAGCACTTTACCCACAATTATTCGTCTCGATTTCGCCGTCATCTTCGGCCTGCACGCGCCTAATGTTCTGGAAATGGGGGGTGGGCAACACCTTAGCAGACGACGTCGTATCGACGTACGCGGCGGAGCTCATCTCCATCTGACATATCCTGACGGCCCCGAATAGCTTTTCCGGCAGCTCATCTTCCGATTGCGATTCCACCAGAAAGCCCATATCAATAGTTACAGATCTGACGCAGCCCAAGGCTATGTGGAGAATCGCGTTGGCTATGGCCGAGCTACTGATGTCGACGTCGATCTCCAAGTAATTCGGCCCTCTGTGGTAGTGGCAATTTAGGGCTTTTCCGAGGATGCAGGCGGAGTAGTTCCCGACGGCGGCTTTCACGATCCACGGCCCCTTCACGATCCGGTTCACGATCTTGAACCGGCTGTTCCGGTAGGCGTCGTCGCCGTTGACAAACTTGTAGAGAAGGGATCCGGGATCGAGCGGCGCGTCGTCGCGCGTGGAGAAGTAGAAGACAGCGCTGTGGTGCTCCCTCCCCGGGACCTGGAGGTTCACGGCGAGTAAGAAGGTCTTGAGAGACTTACCGCGTGACTGTGCTTCCCTCAGCGCCTCCATCACGCGGTTGTCCGGCCGAGACAGGATGTGGTCGAGCTTCGAGCTAGATCGGAGCCAGTCGACCCCAGCCGGCTCCATTAGCCAATCGCCGGATGGAATCTTCGTCTTTTTCGTGAAATAGTTCGATCCGCGGAGGAGAAAAAGGTCTCCGGGAGGGGACGCCCAGCCGTTGGAGCCGCTGTTCAAGTCCACGCGCTTCAACGATCCTCCGTTGATCGCTTCCTGCCTCCAGTCGCTGCGAGCCGCGATAGGCGAGAGGTGGTTGGGGAAGTTTTGCTTCTGCTTCGTCGGACACATGTTTTCCGATGTGATCGGCGGTGGAGTGGCGGTGGAGATAAGGAACTCAGCCGCAATAAAATACACCGTATATGGAACGATTTTTCGGTGGTGAAAAACGGTGAGTTAATACTTTGTGTGTATGTACGACTCACATATATACCAAAAAACACACGTGTGAGATCGACAGCTAATGGTACACTAATTCAAAAGACGTGTATGAGTTTAAGTTCCAATCTCTTTATTTTTTTTAGTTTAGTTCAAGAAACAATGCTAGAGTCATAAATAAAGTGATTATAAATTTACCATTAATAAATTAAATTTTTATTTTAAAATAATAATCCTTCCATCCTAATTTAATGCTTGATTTTGTACGAAGTTTTTAAAAAAATTGTGTGATTGAAAATGATGCAGAAGAGAAAGATAAAATGTGAGCTACAAAAAACTTACCAAAAGAGGAAAGGAGAAGATCAAATTGGGACAATCCATAAAGGAAATAAGGAGTATTAATTTGGGATAGAGAGAGTATCTAACCAATGTTTATTTGAAATTTAATTCACACATGATGACAAAGGATAAGCTTTTCAGCAGTAGGCCTTCAGAATGGGCTCGGGCAGGATGCCCAAGAGCAAGTCTAAGTCTTTGCATAGAAGAGGGTTCGAGGTCGTCTCGCGTTGAGGGACGAGCATAAAATATCAAGAGCTGACCATGCAGAGTCAATTGAAGCTTTCCTAGATTGCCAACGATGCTGTCAGGCACCACATGATTGATTGAACAACCTTTCTCACTCTCATAATTATTTCAACTACCATAAATTCCTCCATATTTATGGCAAATTACTCCCCACAATTATCTTCATCATCATTGGCCAACTTTTTCTAAAATACTTCCACATTCATCTTCATCATCATTATTGTTCATTCCAACTTCCATAACTACCTCCACAATTCACTCCATACCATGACCATTTCTATCACTCACCTATAAATATTTCACCATTTCCTTCACAATAACCAACAAGTTCATACTACTTCTACTCTATTACTATAACCACTCTATCACATATTTAGTTCTTCTTGTAGAAAATAATAAAGGGAGAATATTTTTGTATCAAACAGTGTTGTGAATACAAAGATCTAGCTCTCTTTATATAAGAAAAGGTAAAGCAAATAAGGAAATTTATATTCCTACTAAAATAAGATTTAAGCAAACTAGGAAAGATATTAAACCGAATCCGAAACGGATTCAGTTTCCTTCTTCTAATATCTCACGCCAAACCCNGAGCATGAGGGTTCCGAATGCCCAGCTTGGACAAGACATAATCAAACTATCTTTGTTCAAGTGTCATCTAAAGACTTTAGCAAATAAATTTTCTTCTTCGACAGAGACGCCACTCTTTTCAAATCTACCATCAAGTAAAGGTACACCATTCTTTTCGAACGAACAGTGGGGATGCCATTCTTTTCGAACACCCTACGCGTGAATTTTTGTTTTTACCGCCCGCTAAGGAAAGGGTTTTCTATCTTTGTAGAACAACCCTTGTCGCACAACATCTTCAAGATTGATGGTTGGGATTCACCGGCAGCAGTGTTCTTCGTTGAAGCAGTTCATGAGATTCTTTAGTCAGGGAGAACAATCAAAGAAACTCAAGAACTACAATATCCTTCCGGTAGGCATTGAGTTGTGTATGCCCACCAGCAGGGGAAGAAGCGTGTTTGGGGTCTCAAGAATTCAAAACCTGCTTCGGTACCATATAGAAAATAATAAAGGGTAGAGGTGTGCATTATTTGGTCCGGACCCGAACCGACCCAAAACCTGTCCAAAACTGGACCCGACCGGTCCTTATTCGGTCCGGTCTTTGGTTCTCACTTTTTCCTTATTCGGTCCGGTCTTCGATTTTGAATTTTTTAATATATTCCAATTCAAAACAAGATACCAATTCTAATGGTATTTAAATATTTTTAATATGAAAAGTGTGAAAAAATAAACATTACCTTTGTATTAGCGATCTAATACATTTCAAGTTTATGTACAAATACTATTACTTAAGTTTGTATTTTATTAGTAATAAAACTCTAATGAACAAAAATAAACATTCTAAACAATCTCATGAACAAAAATAGTAAAAAAGGATTCGTTTGCCAAAATAAACCAAAAACACAAAAAAAATATTATAAAAAAGTAAAAACGCAGTAAGAAGAAGAATATTCCATATGTAAAATAAAAAGTACAAAAAATTTTTATGTAATACAGATGGTTGATATATATATATATATATATATATATATATATATATATATATATATATATATATATATATATAAATAAAAGTTTTTAAAAAAATTAAGAACAATAGTGTTTGACAATTTTTAGTGTATGTTACACATTAAATATTAATTGTAGTAATATTTTTATGCAATTGAATACATTAAAGTAAATAAATAAAATCAAATTTTAAAAAAATCATATTAATTCGGTCCGGTCCCAGTCTGGTTCAGGTTTTACCGGTCTGGTCCACGGTCCACAAAATGTCTACCATTACAACGACGTTTGATTTAGTTCTGATGTAACGATGTTAAAACTTTGGATTATGCTATGTGTAGCGAAGGTTTGTACCCCGCAGTTTTGCACCAACATTTTGTGTTGGTGTAAAACTATTTTTTGTTAAACGCACCAACATTTGTGTCCGTGTGAATTTTTATTAACGCACCAACACTTGTGTCGGTGTAAACCGTCGAAATGTTTGTGCAAACCTGTGGGGGTATATTTTTTGGTGTAAGTGTAGCATGGTCCTAAAACTTTTGGGTCTACCATTACAACGACCCTTATTCCCTCCACACCGCCCATCCATAGATTCCCACCACAACTCCATTGTCGTCAGTCGGTGCAAAGGGAAAAGAATTACTGATCCAATCAAGAATAAAGAGCTTTTTAGGATTATATTTTACATTTGCGGTGTTTGGCGTTAGCACTTAGCACCGTGGTAAACAACTTGATTCACAGTGTTTTTCGATTTTGTTTGCGTGAAATAGAAATAGGCTTTATAAAAGAGCATTTACAATGCTCGATCAAAGGAAAACACGCCGCGTCGGAATTGGAGGTAGGGCGAGCGGCAGCGACCCATTGCAGAAGGGCAGCCAGGTCAGAAGCGGCGGTGCACACTGTTGGGGATATAGAAGATAACACAAATAAATTGAGAGTCGTGTATATCACTTTCAGATTGAATATTTTGGGAGTTCAATCCAAAATTCAATCGGATAAAACTCAAAGTTTTCAAGAACAAGTATGAATATGTTATGAAATTTCGAACTATATTGTTAGCGACCAAGGATCAGCGGATTTTATAAAGTTGCGGGGATGAAGCCTGCGGTCGTGTCTCTCGTCCAAAACGCGCGTCCTTTCGCGCGATTTGAGAAAAAAACGGTCGTTTATCTCGATCCGAGCCAGGGGCTCTGCACTTGGACCCGCAGGAGTTACCCGTTTGAACCCTGCTCGAGGGCGCTGCCCCCGAACCCCGCCAAGGGGGCACTGCCCCTTTGGAACTCCCGTTAAAATAGAATTTTTAATCCTAACAAACTCAACGAAACGTGCACTCCGCACCATCAAACTCCTTTGATGATTATTGGGATACCATTGGTCACATAGTTTTTCCAATTACACTAAAATATATACCACATGCTTGGGCGTAACTGGAGCATATCTAAATTGCCCATTTTACCCCATTTTTGGGAAATTTCCTTTTTCGGTGCACTTTTTTCTTGGTGTATTTCTAATTTTTTGGTATATTTTCTTTTAATTTTATATTTTAGTGTATTTTTTAATAAAAAGTATCGTTGTTAACATTTTATTTTAATTATATATATTTTCTTTTTTATTAATATAAATTTGATTTTAAAATGATGAATAATGTTAAAGAAAAGGAGAGGTGAGACAAGAGGGCGATAACATTGCATGAACTTTGGGGCAAGGTTGAAAAATAGTGGAATGCTCACGACAATGAGGCGGAGAGATAGTCCTCCGATCCTCATTATAAATGCTCTAATATCTATTGTGTATATAGAACTTCTCTCATGACTTGAATGGTAGGAAATCTTCACTCCCCAAGATTCATGAATTAGTTCATTCAGATTCGAGCCTCTGCTTCTTATAGAATTTTAGTATACTCTAGAAAAACAATCCCTCCTTGTTGGAAGAGCATGATACTTCCGAAGATCAATATAATGGAACAACAATATTAACACTTTTATTTGAAGTAGTAGATACCAAAAAAGTTGACTGTCTTAATCTGTATTCCATTATTCGAACAAAATCTTATACTCCTTAGACTCCGTGTTTAATTTAACACTGGGTATAAAAGAAATTTTTACTCTTTTACACTATGTTTGGTTCAAGAAATTTTATAAAAGAAACAAAAAAGAAAATAAAGTGGAAAACAGTTTTTCTTATTTAGTTAGAGATGAAAAGAAAGGAAAAGTGAAATGAAAAAAATGCAAAGGCTAATGTACTAGGAGTAGAGAAAACCAAATTTCTTCTATTTCCGTGAGGAAAATGAGAGAAAATCATTTTTTTTCTTTTCCTTCTAAATTCCTTGAACCAGACATAGTCTTAATTGATATTCTAAGATAGAGAGAATATAGAGAGCATTGGTTATTTACTTATTTGGTTGAACCCAATAAACTCATTTCGAAGATAAACCGTAGAGATTTTATATATTCCTAAACATATTGTTCCTTATTTGAGAATTAGAGCGGAACTAAAAAAAATAAAATTTATATATTAAAGAACTACGTCAAAATCTCTTCGAAACAATAGGTGACGTGATTATATTATTTTATCAAATAGGTAAAGAAAACAACAAAAGAAAGCAAATAAAATTTAACTCTATAAATAGTAAACAAGCAACCTAAGGAGTACTAATTTTCAAACTACCCATCTTGGGAGCTCAAATCACGCTAGACCAAAAGGTTAATAATGAGTTAGAAATTTAGATTTGTTCTCTTGTTTGATCTGATTAGATCTAATCTGATCTAACCTGATTATACTTATATTTAAAATGGTTTCTGACTTATTTTGGTTTGATTAAGTCTAATCTTATCTAATCTAATTTCAATAAGAATATACAAAAAATAAATACGAATTAATAAGAATAATTAAAAATAAACAAGATCTTAAAGAAGCTCTAAAAGTTTATAGTACGTGCATTTTTGAAAATTTGGCACTTTTTACTACTCGTTAATAAGCGTGTCAAGTCAACACATGAAGATATTTTCGGACAGAGGGAGTAGTCATGAAAATTTCCTACATGACTTAATTTTTTCTATTCATATACTTTTCTTTTTATTTATTTTCCTTTCTTTTCTATTCTTTTTTTTCTTTTATTTTAATTTTGATTAAAATAAAAGAAATGTTATAAAATTAATAAATAGGAAAAATGAGAAATGAGCTTTAGTGAAAAAAGAGAATATTTTATTGGTTTTCGTATCATGAAAATGAACCTATAAAGATCTCTTTTGAATAATAAAAAAGAATATGTTTAATTTGAGACAAATGAAGTATACGTTAATTCTTGTTATTTAATTGATTTTATTGCAAACACAAAAAGTTGATTATTAAAACACACAAAAAAAATTTTTAATAAGAAATTAAAAAACATTTATGAAAAAAGTAGTAGAAAAAAGAAAAACAATAAAGAAAAGAGGGAGAGTTTGTGCCAATTTTCAAAACCATATGGGGCAATGGAGCTATTCGCATAATATTTGAAAGATATTTTAGTTTAAAAAGATATTAACATAACAATACCAGAACCATAAGAGACAATGACGTAAGTTTTGGAACCATAAGGGGTAATGATACAAATTTACCGAGCTACAAGAAGTCATGGTGCAATAAACTCAAAGTCTTACATACATTTGTATGTACGAGAATATTGTACATCGACGATGGGTTTAGTGAGTAATTTCATCCTTGTTAGGGAGCCTTTATGTTTTTCTTAATGTGCAATTATGGTGCATATTAAGCACTCAATTTTGTTTACCGAACAAATAACTTCTATCTATAGAGTGCAATTTATTTAGATTGTGCAGTGTGAGAGGAGAATTGGAAGGCGCGGACTAGACTCCATGTCAGCGCGGGAAGAAGGGGAACATTGCCTCCCTCGCGCGGTAGACAAGAGGGGAAATAACCACTCCCGTTTGGTAAAAATAAAAGCACATATGAGAACTTAACTCTAGGACGGAGGGAGTATGTGCTTTTATTTTTACCTTAATCGCTTACTACTATTGACATCGTTATATAACATTTACCATTTTGGCCAACGTATATGACATTTACCATTGTCCTGCTAACTGCTAAAACAAACATGTATATTGGGAGGAGTTTAAGAATGCATTGTTAAATTCTCGAAACAGAAGCACACAAATATTAACTTACATATCAAAGTCAAGAACAATGCAGAGGAGAGAAGTCGGTATATAATACACAGGACACTCGGTTATCAGTATTCAAGAAAGAAGATGTATCCGCCGGGCTCCGAGAAAAATAGACTTCATATGATCTTAGGTAGTTGTTGAAAGATGGTAGCACTGCCAAAAACACACAATTTCTCTAGGTTATTCAGAAGGGACAAAAATACATCAAATACTCCCTCCGTCTCGAATTAATCATCTCACTTTCTTTTCTAGCCCGTCCCAAAATAATTGTGTCACTTCTTTACTTTCCTAATAAAGTAAAGAATGGGTAATCCACAATCTTTCTCTTTCCTCTAGTCAAATTTTAACAACCCACTTCTTACTTTTCAAAATTTTTCTTAAACTCCGTGAAGTCAAATTGGGATGATAAATTTGAGACGGATTACTCCGTATTATTGTTGTTGTTATTCCATATTGCTATCACTTGTTTCTCTAATAAGGTTCCACTATCTCTGTCTCTATTTAACATTTTGTTTTGTCAATCCCAGTATGTTTGTCTCATTTCATATTTGTCATAATAGTATGGCTTGAGTAGAAGTTAATTAACAGTGTGTCACTTTTCTTGGGGAACAACAAAGTAAGATAGGGTCAGGTGATGGGATTCAAACTCAAGCCACCACAAACTCTTTAAAACCAAAACAAAGCAAAATGCGACAAGGTCGGCTTTGCTTCAAAGTAACAGCAAAGAAAGAAGTGTATATCTGATAAACCGAAACTTAACCTAAAGAAAAACAAAGCTTAAATTGCAGGTAATGCAAATCCAAATGCAGATATATTAAAATAGTCGCGACTGACTGAAAATAATACGCAAATACGAGCATTTGAAGTGGTACGTAATCAGGTTGTATGTGGATGTGATTGTGTGCTATGAGTGTTCTTGTCACTAACATTTCATGTGTAACAAGAGGGGAGAAGTCTCAGTCGGTTGTACCTAATGCACAACACTCCTGCAAATAATAGTATCTATAGGAAAGATTACAATGAAATAGTACTAATACTGCCTCCATCTCAGTGTGTTTGGAAGTTAGACTTTTTTTTAGCCAAGCTAGACGAATTTTGACAATCAATTAAATAAAATTGCATTATATATTCGTATAAAAATGATTAAATTAGATTTATCTAGCAAATTATTTTCAAAAACATATTTTATTTTATTAATTTACAATGCAATATGCATTTAATTGATGATCAAAATTTGTCAAGTTTCACTACAAACAGCCAACTTGACAAACACATTTGGGACAAAGAGAGTATTACCTATTTCGTAAAATATACAACCTTATCATGTTTCAAATGTTATGTAGTAGTAACTAGTCTAAGCAAACACTTGAGCATCGTGCCACGCACACCGTCACTTTAAACCCCACGGATACGCAATTATACGCAAATAACACCAACAACCAAGCCTTCATCTCAAATCATCAGGGTCTTGAGATCATCCACCAAAGTCACATTTCCAATATCTTTGTCATGTACGGATGTACCATATGATCATTAAACCCCAACATGGTGATGTACGTTTTACACCTCCAATATACGTAGTACTCTCACTGTCCCTAAATAAATGTTCTGGGTTGACTTTCACGGGATGTAAGAAAAAGTAATATCGTATGGTGGAAGTTTATGCAAATGAAAGAGAACTAATGTGAACCACTCATTTCTTTTCTTAAATGGAATGAGACATTTATCCAAATAAGGAAAGCATGAAATTTATTTAGGGACAAAAGAGGTATATATTTTTGGTCATCATGTTTTCTCTTTAAGCCTTTGACACTCCAAGTCTTCACTCAATGAGGCACTTCCATCATCACACTAACGAGCCCAAACTAAAATAGATGCATCTCCCTTAATATATTTTTAAAAGTTGTTACATCCTTTTTCACGTGATTCTCTTCTTTGCACACTCTATCCTATTTCATTTTAGTGCACATCCACCTAAAAGTATACGTTACACTCATTTCATTCATTTTTAATTAAATCTTGTCCTTTTGCAGAAGCCTTGTTCAAATACTTTCTGTTGTGTTAAGTTGAAACTCATAACTCCCTTAAATTTGTTCGCTAACTTCACTGGTTCTATTAGATTGTAGCTACTACCTCGTCATATAATTAGACTATCCACAATACAAATTAATTACAATATTTAGTGCTACACCAATATTATAACTAAGAATGTAAGAACTGTCATACTAAAACTGTATCCAAATTACGGAGTATAACTAAAAAAATACGAGTTCTATAATGCTTAGTAGCAATAAGATCCAAGGTTGCTCCAAATATTACCGCACATTAACCATTTCTGACACCTAATATAATGTGGCAATGTGTATTGGGACATGTAATGTATGCTTATTATTTAATTAAGTACACCTCCAGATCATAAATTAAATAAAAGATAATACCCTAACAGATTAACATGAGAAAGCATAAGACCCCCCCCCCCCCAAGAACAAATAAGCAAACACACAAGGTGGTCAAACTTGGGATTCTACGTAGAATTAGATTAGCAACAAAAGATCATAAATCGTAAGATCCTACACACACACACACAGTCTCACACTCTCACACACATATGCACATAAAACTTTTGATGATATTGAATACCATTAATAAATCATGAGTAAAACAATACTTCCTCAAATCCAGATTAAGTTGGCCACTTTTTTTTTGTTTATCCATAGTAAGTTGTGAACTTTTGATATATAATAAAAAAATTATGCAGAATTTTCTGAAATATCTGAGATATAGTATGAGCATGCAACATTTTCGACATGAATGAGTGACAAACTCATTTAACATTTTATAAACTCAGTTCTTGAAAATGATACTTTTTAGAGAATTGATAACTATTCTTCTTGCAATACGAATCCATATCCATTTGAGGAGCGTGGAATCGCACGATTCTATGAGTCTACTCATGATTAGGACTGCCTTGGAAACACATTTTCCATGCTAGTTTAAGTTCAAAGACAGATAGCAATACTGTCTAACAAAACGTATTGCAAATTTACTACATTGTGCTATTAGATAAAAAATGAAAATATAATAAAAACCATTTCAATTATGCTCATTAAGTGAAGTTCTAGGAATCCGAAATTGCTAGACAATGTCCCATCGATGGAGCTCATACAATGGAGTATCAAGTACTCCATGTCAAACAACCCGAGACACCAGAAAATACAGAAACACGAGCAAAAATTTAGTAAGCAGCACAGTTCAAACATTTTTTATACACTGTTATGAAATCGGCAACGAAAAGGTTCTTTCGACCCGGGAACCCCATGTCATATTATGACCAGGGCATCTACAATGCACCCTTGGTTAAAATCGATGGTTCATACCCCCCCCCTAACTCATTCTTCCCCCTTGCACCCCACCCCCATCCCCCAACCCCACCCCTAACGTATCTCTTTCATTGTTTTCTTTTTATTTCATTTATGTAATGCTTCCGTTGTACTCCGCATTTCCCAATTAATAAATATAATCCATGCTTTTATCTTTTTGTTAATGTCAAAAGGGGGAAGATAAGGGCTATGCATATTCTAAGTGGGAACGTTCCTTAAACGTTTGTTTTAAAAAGACAAAATTTTATTAAGGCATAAATTAAGGGGGAACCTTTTCCAAACTCAATCAAGATTCAAACAACCCTCATGCATAACACCATCTTGTTTGCCATTATAAAAAAGGGGGAAATTGTTGGAACACGGGTTTACGCTGCCAAATCGGTGATCTATGTGGCAGATGGGCCGGGGTGGGGTGCAGGGAGTTTAGGGGTAAGGGAAAGGAACAATCAATTTTAATTTTACCAACGGTGCACCATAGGTGCCCCGGGTCATAAAATGACCCGGGGTTTGAATGTCAAACGAACCTCATTGCTATGAAATACATTCCTAATTGAGCATTCAGTCCCTATTTCAACTACAACACAAAATCAGAAGTGCAATCGAAAAAGCAAAAATTAGGGTTTTCATTTTACCATGAGGAGTCCAACCAAATGAGAAGAAGTTGATAGATTCCTGCTGGGAACTAGTGTCGCTTAGTTCTCTGAGGCTGCTTCTCAGTTGCAAGTCGAAAAACCCAGTAAACCTGCAACAAAAGAGAAACGGAAATAAATCATTAGAAAAATGTGAGAGAGACAGAGTTGGGAGCAGAAGACAGCGCGTTTTCAACGGGAATGGGGGTACCAGAGCAATGACATGAGCGGCAATTAGGAGGAGGAGAAGCAGAGAGCCGGCCGCCATTGGCCATGACTGACCGCTTGAAGTAGAAGCTTCTGGATTCGCCAGTTTGGATTTTTCCGGAGATTTCCTAAAAAATAGCTGGAGAGAAAATCTCAGTTCAATCGAACACAACGACCTTGGATCTAAAACAATGCCAAGAACTACCTCCCGAACTAGGGGTGAGAACCTATGCCCAAATTTTCCAAAAAAAAAAAACCAAAGAACCTAAGAGAAAAATACCTCAATGAAAAAATGAAAAAATACTGCAATAAGTTGAATCACACAAAATTGACCGTTCTATTAGGTATGTTCTTTTGAGTTGGATTTGAGTTGGATGTGGTATGTTATAGATTTGAATATTTATCATTGTTTGTTTTTGATGTGGTATATTATAAATTTAGATATATTAAATGTTATTTTATATTCATCATATATAAAAATATTTTTTAAGTCGTTATTGAAATAAACTAAAAAAAATTCAAAAAAGTTAGAGGTTAATGTTTTAAACTGAAAAGAACAGAACCTTAGTACTCCATATTTTTGGAATAATACGAAGTAACTTTTCATATAGAAAATATCAAACCGGACATATATACGTAGTGTTAATATATATTACTCCGTAAAAATTGTATTTTTATTCGACTTTTATTTTTTGTAGATGAATTTAACAATATTTCTCTAACAAATATTTCAAATAATATTTTGTTGTTATTCGTTCTTTTTAGTTTGTGGATGTGGAATATAAATTATGTTTCATGTGATTCTTGCATTTAATTGTTCATTTTTCAATTTTTATGTTTCTTTATTTAAATGTACTTTTAATTTTTTCAAAGATAAAGGATTTTATTACATTTTAAAGTGTAAATTAGTTATGCATATATTCATCTTAATTTGTATCAAAACTGATACCAAACTATCTCGATCATATCGAATCAATGTTTCGAGATAGGTACGACGTAAAAATTCATACCGAACTAAAATATTTGGTACGATATTAATACGACGTGAATACCATACCATACTGTACCATGCTCATCCATGTTTTGAACTGAACCAAAGTCAAAGAAAGTTTGTATTTCTCTGTGTTGGTTCTTATTAGTTTATTACTGATAAACATTTTTTTGACTTACAACTTAAATGCTTAGAAGTAAAATATAATGTTCTGAAAGTAAAATGACATAAATGATGGCTAAGTTATTTGGAGATATTTATTAATAGTAATAGATAAGTTTGTAAATATTCCGATCAAGACGTAGAAACGAAAAATTTAGCTTTAAAACAGGAAGGTTTTTTTTGATGCTTACAAGTCAGCTTATTAAGCACAGGATATCAGCTGATTTATAAGTTAAAATAACTTGTCAATTGTTTTGACCAGTTTTTAAGTGTAGAGAAATGCCTACCAAATGAATCAAACAAAATCCAAATAAAAAAAATCATTATGAAATGTCAATATACAATATCATATATAATAAAAAAAAATTATGCAAAATCAAAATACACTATATAAATATATAATGCCAACATGAATTCCTTTTTATCATTCACGTAGTAAATGGAAGTTTTAAAATATGAGTAGAAATTTGTAACTTTAAAATTTAAATAGAACAAAACGGGCAATTTGTAACTTTAAAATCTGTTGGATTGCAATGTCCGGGTCCGGTGGCTTGGGTTATATTCGATTTCACCATTATAACAATTGTAATTTGTTTATTGACATACCATTAACAAATCCGACAGTTTGGCCGAGTGGTCCAAGGCGCCAGATTTAGGCTCTGGTCCGAAAGGGCGTGGGTTCAAATCCCACAGCTGTCATTTTACTTGCGTTCCATTTTATTTTTGTTCTTATTTTGAAGCCCAGTCTCTGTTCTTTTTGTTTCTCTCGGCCGCGGCAAATTTTCTAGTCCTACCAGTTCCACGCGATGTATCATCGTCACTTCCTTCGCCGCTTGCTCGCCATTCCGGCCACTGTTCGCCGCCGGTCACTCTCAACCTTGGCCTTCGACGAAATACGTTCGCCGCCGGATCGTTCATACAAGTTCACCGCTTTCGTTCTTCACGGCCTGTTAGGCTCCGGTCGCAACTGGCGTTCCTTCTCCCGCTCTCTCGCTTCTTCTCTTCCATCCGGTACTCTCTCTGTCCATACATCTGTTTCCGTGATTTTGTTCTAGTGTATATTGAGGAGATCTATTGATAAAAATAAAAAAGTGTTGATTATTAATTTTTTTTGTTTGTGTGTATGTTTGAAAAGGATGGAGGATGATTTTGGTGGATCTTAGGAATCACGGTAGATCGGCTGAAATTGGATGCTTTGAGCAGCCACACACTATGGAAAATGCTGCGAATGATCTGGCCAATTTGATCGAATCACAAGGTTGGGATTGGCCAGATGTTGTTATTGGCCACTCAATGGGCGGCAAGGTGGCACTGCAGTTCGCTCAGAGCTGTTCTCGCGGTGATTATGGCCAACCAGCTCAATTGCCTAAGCAGGTTTGCTATTATTTTCAGATTTCCTGCTGTTGATGAACATGTTTCCAAAATACCCGTTTGAAACTAGAGGTAGGTGGAGGTAGGGTGAGGTTAAGTTTAGAAGTTACCTTGTTTGGGAGAAGAAATTGAGATAGGTAAGAGGAGGTGAAGGGAGGTAACCTAACCTCTTAAGAGTGAAATACTGAAGGGAGGTAAACCAGGTGCTTTTGCGCGTTAATAGATGTCCACTTTTCTTATTCCTAATTTCTACATTATTGCAGTGAACAATAAATAATCGATTGAATCATTCAAAACGAGACTCGTTTTACTGCTCTTTTTTATTCGATTTGCATTCCTTGGAGAGAATACCATTAGCACACGATTAGCAAATGTGTCTTGAAAATCAGGTAGCTATTAGTATGTTGATGAGTTGCAAACTTGCAGTAGGTCAGTTGGATTACATCTTGAAGTGATCTTCTAGACCTGCGCAGCCACCTGGACGCTGGCATTATGTATATCATGCTTTCAACTACACGAGCCGACAATCCGTAGGCATGTGGATAGATGTAGGCTAGGTGTCACATTCAACTGCACGGGCCGACAATCTGTTGGCATCTGTTTGCTTGTCCACGACATCAACTTGGACGGAACTCTCCCTATGAGTCATATTTGCTGCATAGTCCAGACTAGATGCTTGAATAGCAGACCAACTTCCGAGCTATATGGACACATTCAAAGGTTCACTCAAAGAAGAATTTTCCCCATTGAATGATGCATTTGTTGGCACCACCTGGACGCATGGCAAATTAATTTTTTAGATGTTTCTCATTCCAATTGCAACTCCTAATTTACTAGAAGTTTCTTTTTATTTATTCGCATTGAATTTATCTTGTTAGAATTTGAAGTCTTTTTATTTAAATATGATTGCTTTACTAAATAGTAAATATGTTGGTGTTGAATTTAAATTCAAAGGAGATTGAACCCACGGCCACCAGCTCCTTCTCTCTTGTTTTCTGTGTGTCTGCCCTAAGGACATCATCTATCTCAGTTCGCACTTCACCTAGGAAACCAGAAGAAGAATTCTTTTTCTTCGGTATCATACCAACCTGTATTGCCCAACGAATTTCTTAGCCTATATCGTTGGCTACATGCGAAGGGGGCATTCTGAGAACATTGTCTTGTATTCTACTCATTATATCACTCAGAAAAGATTTTTCCTAGCCATATCTATACAAACCTTAGGTGGGTCTTTTGTCACTCATTATCTTGTCTTGGTCTTATTATCTCTTTTTCTAACCATATCATCCCCACTCCCCTCCAACTCAGCTCAGACCGGGCAGAGCTGTGAACCTGTCGTCTGGTGATAATACACCTTAATATGCAATAGTGATCAAGCCCAAAACACTATGTATCTATTTATAAATGCTTTTATTCGGACTAGTGGTTTTCGAGTTATTCATTGCCTCGAGTCATTGACTGCATTATTTTCTTGTGTTCCTTAAGAGTAGGATTTCCGAAGCTTACTTTAGGCCTGTATAGCTGTATAAAAAGGATATGCAAAAAGTAACCTCATTTTTCTATTTTCCTTGTTTGTTTTCTGCCACATTTGTGGGGCTTTACTAGATACTTTGTTGTTTTTGTTCTTTGGATTGTTTTCTATTAAAACCTGTTTGGCGAGTATTGTTTGCACTGTACAGTACATGTGTGCAATACAAACATAAAAGAAGATATCAATTCTTCCCTGCCCTTGGCTGGAAGGAGAGGAGGATAGTTTGTGACTAGCTTCTCATAATTAGAGAATTGACTTCAAGCATTAATGTTTTTATAAATGATTATCTATTTATACCACTCTCAAGAGTCTTGGTAAGAAAGTTAATAGTGTCCTAATATAGCATTGAATGCAACATTGCTATTAGCCGGCAATGTTTGAAATGGCGTATTGGGTATATGTAGCATTTTTGTTTTAAGGCATATTGCATGAGCCTCAAGGCGTAGTGAGGTGTAAGCTTCATTTGTAAAGTATCAAAATGTCCTTAAAATTGAAGGTAAAACATTATTAATAACATAATTAATTCATAAATGTCAAATTAGTATATTGTCAATGTAAAGGGCCTCAAACGCAACAAAGTTTAGCATGAAATAATACAAAAATATCCATGTGGGGTCCGACATTTAAGCAATCCATTAAGAAACCTAAAATATAATGCAGTGCAGTAGATAATACACACCCAGTAGATAAGGATAGATGATAGGCATCAGGCTTCGCAGAGAAAGCTTACACAGATGAAATAACCTGGATGGCTCGATGAAGATGGCGTGGTGATACAAATCCCAAACCAATCAGGACTTATTAGAGGCGTAAAAAGAGGGCTTAAGTTTGACTGAGTTTAATTCTTTTATTAGCACAATAATAGGGCTTACGTTTTGACTAAGTCTGATTAATTTAAAATGTGTTCCCATTCTGTTAGCACAATAATTGGCATCTGTTAGCACAATAATAGGTCCACTCTTGCTGTCATGGTCAGTTAGTCTTATCTTTCTGTTAGTGCCTAAAAAGTAGGGATATTTGGTTATTTCTTTGTATTCCAGCATTATAAATATGCTAGTCCATCCTCCTGGAAGGATATCAGTTTATCAATATATTTCATAGCATTGGAGATACTCCTTGGCTTCTATTACCTATTCTCAGTGAGATTCTTATTGTGAGAGGGTTAGGAGAGAATTCATTCTTCAGTTTCTATCTTTCATTTTTCATAATACCGTCCTGCTCCTATCATTTTGGTATCAGAGCCTCGTTCTAACCAATATGGTTATCACACGCTCCTCTAATACTAACTCAAATCCAGAAGATAATCAGGAAAATCCCTTTGGTAAGGATCCTCTGGCAACCATTGCCTCTCGATTGGCAGCTTTAGATGTTTTACAAGAAAAGGTGACGGCTCTGGAAGCAAATTCATCTCGCCGTAATAGTGGAAAAGGGAAACAGCGCAATCGTGCAGATGATAGCGATGAGGAATATGAATCATCTCGGCGTGCTTCGAGGCTACCACATGCAAAACTGGAATTCCCAAAATTTACAGGAGGCGACCCAAGAGGATGGATCCTCAAAGCAGAGAAGTATTTCCGTTACTATGACGTTCCAGAGGATGATAAGGTGGATGTGGCTTCCATGTACCTTGAAGGGGATGCTTTGGGCCTGTTTTCATGGATGAGCACTGAGAGAACGTTGTTTTATTGGGAAGATTTGGTGAAGGCATTCCAAGAACACAATGGTCCACCGGAGTATCAAAATCCAAACGAATACCTTTGTAGTATCAAACAAAGTGGTACTGTGACAGAGTACCGCTTAGAGTTTGCAAGAAGGGCATCTCGAGTTGAAAGATGGCCTGAGCACTGCCTTCTAGGGGTTTTCATCAACGGCCTCAAGGAAGAATTGCGACCAGATGTTCGGCTTCACAAGCCACAAACTGTGTACAGGGCTGCAAGTCTTGCCCTGGAGTTTGAGAGAAAGCAACCTTCGAGTCGAGGGTCCAGATCTAATGCTGCTTTTGGCCCAAATCGCAGCAACCCACTTTACCCTCAAAATTATTCAACACGTGAACAGAAAGGAAGTATACTGTCGTCATCGGACCATCAAAAAACATTGCCTTCGTCTTCACCCTCTTTGACGACACCTACCAGGAGCTC